GGATAAGATTTCACAGCAATGCACTGAGATGTAACCTTCCCAGGATGCAATCCTTGGGCATAGGCTACATCACTAATGCCTAAAAGGACCAGGAAGTGGGAAAACAGCAATTGTAAGTTAATGAATGTAAGATGATTTCAAATCAGCATGAAGAGCTGCATGCTGATGTGATTTTTAGTGAAAGGGGGTAAAGGTCCACTTTAAACTTCTATGCAAGTTAACCGGTTTGGGCATTCTGCATAGCAGACCCCACTTCTCTCCTGCTGCAGTGCCTGCTGTGTTGGAGGTAGTTGTGTGACCCACAGCAATGAATTGTTTTATTTATTGGAAATAGTTCTACTTTAAATGCTAGTGGCTAACACTTCCCTACCCTGTCCAAAATTAAATATACAATTTATGATTTCCAGTCACAGCTTTCCTAAACCCAAAGGCATTTTAATCTTCTATAGAAATAGAGCATAGGGGTGTATATAATATGTCTGGTGATATTGCTATATATTGTATGTCGCCCTATGATGTGATACATATATACGCGACTCTACTGCCCTCTGCTGGTCACATTTAAACACAGCCGCTCTAGTAGAAATGAATGGAGGGGAACTGACCAATGAAACGCCTTCCTGGACGGGAGGCTTGGAACTCAAGCACATCAGTTGTGTGCTGTGAATTGCGGCCGCACTTTACGGCAACACTCTTCCTGCATGAAGAGATCTGTACTCACCGGCCGGCAGCATGGTGGAGTCAGTAATCTGTGCAGGCACTGCCAGCAGGTTTGGTGCAGTTTGACGCCTAAATTTGTATCACGTTGTGTAAAGATAATAACTGTCATGCAGTTTGTAATCACTTACATGAATTTTGTTGTAGTGTACGTGTGTGGGGTACACAAAGACTGGCAGTTCTGCATATGTATTTGAGTGTTGTTGAGTTGTGTGTTCATTGACATCTGTTCAGTTTGTACTGTCAGTACATACTAAGGCTAGGTTCACACCTAGGGGATTCAGATGCTGAGCTGTTTTCGATTGCGTGATTGTTCATTGAAAACCGCGTGATTTTCAGTGCATAGAGATGTCTATGGGACCCAAACAGCGCGACAACTGCCTGAAAATAGCTCCTGCACCTTTTTGCGCACAAACCGCAAAGGTGTCAACAGCCTCCATTGACTTCAATTGGAATCTGTGTTTTGCGTGACTCAAACCGTGCGATTAAATTGCCTAGGTGTGCACCAAGTCTATGGGGCCATATCAGATAGGCGATTTATTTACAGCGATTATATTTTATTTTCTCAGTAAGTAAATCATTGTTTTCTATGGAATCTCTAGCTTGCTAATTTGACAGCATTTCATAACTCAGTTGCTCAGCAATTTTTGTGTTTGTTGGCGACAAACGCTCTGCATTCACCTCTGTGGCTCAGCAGCGATCACTAACGCGTAAGATGTAGCCGCGAATAAAACGCTTCTTAGCAAATCGACATGACTGTAGTGGTTATGTCGTTAGCTACAAATTGTGGTTAAGTCGCTGGCATAAGCAATTTGTAGCGGCAGAGAATCGCTGCTGCAAACATGCTCGTCTGACATGATCCTTAGGAAGTATAGAAGCTGTCATTGCTAACATTCTATTGAAAACAGTGGCATCACAAGGGGGGTGTAGGGGATGCGGTCCACACCCTGGTGACACCATTGGAGGGGTGACACCAAAATGGCTAACAGTCATTTTAGTGCCAACCCCTCTAAAAAGTCGGGCACTCAGTCACGGACCGAGAGCCTGACAGTGCCAGGACAGAGGAGGGGACCCGGTGACCTACCTCATCCCGTCAGGTGAACGTCCCCTCTCTCTGCCGCCATCCATTACCTAGATGGCCGCGTGTGCACAATGACGTCATGCGCGATGATGTCACGCGGGGTGACACCTGGTCTCCGCTCCGGGTGACACCCAGCCTCTGGACGCCCCTGATTGAAAATACTAGTTTGCAGACTCTTGCTCTGACTCTAGTGATGAGCCTGGGCTTGGTTCACCCGAGGCCACTTGAGTTTGCTTACAGTGGCATAGTGGTTAGCTCCTCTGCCCTGCAGTGCTAGGGTCCCGGGTTTGAATCCTTGCCAGGTCACTATATGCATGGAGTTTGCATGTTCTCCCTGTGCTTGCGTGGCTTTCCTCCAGGATCTCCGGTTTCCTCTCGGGCATGCCGATAGGTTAATAGGCTTCTAAATTGACCCTAGAGTGTGTGTATGTGAAATAGGGACCTTAGATTCTAAGCTCCTTCTGGGCAGGTACTGATGTGAATGTACAGTTTGTAAAGCCCTGCGTCAATTGTCAGAGCTATATAAATACCTGCGTAGCGCTCTCCCCCTAAGGAGCAGCTGAGAACCTGGATTTTAGCCACCTGCAACCCCTAATAGCATTAAAGTGACATTAACCACTTGCTGACCAGGTTTTTAGACCCCCTTCCTGGCCAGGCCATTTTTCAGTATTTAGCGCTGTGGTACTTTGACTGACGTTTAATGTCAGATAGAGCTTTCTTTTGGTGGCATTTAATTACCACTGGGGGTTTTATTTTTTATTATAATTAGGAAAAATTACAGAAAATTTTGAAAATTTTTACATTATGTTAGGAAACATTTATTATTACCCAGTTTTTTGGTAAAATATAAAAGATCGGGGTCACGTCGGGTAAATAGACACCAAACATGTCAAGCTTTAAAATTGCACGCACCCGCAAAATCGCAGAAAACTACCATACCCAAAATTGGCCATAGGCGACGCTTTACAAGCTTTTCCAGCTTCTGAAGCTGGAGAGTGACACAAGAATGCGGAAGTGATGTATTATACAACACTTCCGCATTCTTGCAGAGGAAAGGCACCCCATACACGTGATTACAGGCATCGCGGCCTGTTTTAAAAAAAAAGGCCATTTCCCACGCGCGCGAGGGGGCGTGCCTGAGCGGACGTCTAAAGACGCCCGCTCAGATCTAGAGAGCTCCGGGCCGGCCGTTTTTCTACTACGGCCGGCCCGGAGGCAGTTAAACCCTCTAAGGATAAGGATTTAAAAGGAAGAGCAGCAAAGAGAAGGGAAACTACCATGGATTACAGTAAGGCACACATTACAGTATTGGTTTATGTTAAAAAATCTGGGGGTTTAATGTCACTTTAAGCACCCGAGATATGATGCTGAAGAACTTTTATTAGAACACTTGAATTGGGTTTAGGGGTTAGGACATCCAAAACAAAAATTGACAGAACTCCAGACCAAGCAGACCCTTTCAGTATTCCACAGTGCAGGAGCAATAGGAGCACAGGCTAAGGCTGGGTTCACGCCTGAGCGTATTTTTTCAGCTCGTTTTTTTTCGCACGTTTTTCCGTTCAATGAAACGTGCGTTTCATTGGCTGTCTTTTTTTTTTTTTTCATTTTTAAAAAAAATAAGAATTTTTT